CATTTCTCTTTCTCGCGCCGCGCCGTGGTGTCCGTCAGCAGTTCCAAGCGGTGCATTGAACGCTTTATGGGCATTATTCTCGTGTCGGCGAGACTGCTGTGAGCACGGCGATGGGCTGGCGGCAAGCCGAGTCAAAGCCGCGCAGCCTCTGCGTCTCGAATGCACGGCGAGGCAGTGGTCATCTCCATCGGTGGCCCCTTGTGGGTTAAAATTCAACATTGGCATGTGCTGGTTGGGTGAGGGGCAGTTTGTTTAAGACAGGATAGGCACGGATCGATTAATCGATGTATTTAAATCCTTGTTGTGCAAATAAGAATCACCGTTGAGTCATGAATGTCGCTATTGTTTCATGAACTCTGCAGCCACTGGAGGCGCTACTATAATCGCCATTAAAAAAAATAAGAGTTTAAATAAATCGTGATGCTTCATCGAATAGCGATGGGGGCAAGGGTGGATCACCGCCTACTTCTGATTGTATCAACCTGTGAAATATGAAGAGGTGACTCCGCCCTAGATCCTAATTTGAGCTCTCAACCTTTGTGACTGCGAGCGCTCTAACCATTACTCCACCCAGCTCGACTCCAGGCTGCGGTTCGAGTGGTCATTACGTGTAATCGCTATCAATAATTGTAATAACTGCACTGGCCGTACTCGACACAGGAACCCGGAATTCCTGGGTCAGGTGACAGCACATCTCGCCCCCCAAGCCCTCGAAGGCTGCCCGCACAGTGGAGGGGGGGGGGGGGGGTATGGGGGAAAGTTCCAGGAGTCAATCGTGACGGGACGATCTCAAAGGGGGCTTAGATGATGAGCAAATTGGCCGAGCTTCTGTCCCTGTGCCACCGTGGCCGAGATGTCACCTACCTCGCCTGGTATACAGTGAGGGAAACAAGTATTTGATCCCCTGCTGATTTTGTACGTTTGCCCACTGACAAAGAAATAATCAGTCTATACTTTTAATGGTAGGTTTATTTGAACAGTGAGAGACAGAATAACAACAACAAAATCCAGAAAAAACGCATGTCAGAAATGTTATAAATTGATTTGCATTTTAATGAGGGAAATAAGTATTTGACCCCCTCTCAAACAGAAAGATTTCTGGCTCCCAGGTGTCTTTTAGATAGGTAACGAGCTGAGATTAGGAGCACACTCTTAAAGGGAGTGCTCCTAATCTCAGCTTGTTATCTGTATAAAAGACACCTGTCCACAGAAGCAATCAATCAATCAGATTCCAAACTCTCCACCATGGCCAAGACCAAAGAGCTCTCCAAGGATATCAGGGACAAGATTATAGACCTACACAAGGCTGGAATGGGCTACAAGACCATTGTCAAGCACCTTGGTGAGAAGGTGATAACAGTTGGTGCGATTATTCGCAAATGGAAGAAACACAAAAGAACTGTCAATCTCCCTCGGCCTGGGGCTCCATGCAAGATCTCACCTCGTGGAGTTGCAATGATCATGATAACGGTGAGGAACCAGCCCAGAATTACACGGGAGGATCTTGTAAATGATCTCAAGGCAGCTGGGGCCATAGTCACCAAGAAAACAATTAATAACACACTACGCCGTGAAGGACTGAAATCCTGCAGCGCCCGCAAGGTCCCTCTGCTCAAGAAAGCACATATACATGCCCGTCTGAAGTTTGCCAATGAACATCTGAATGATTCAGAGGACAACTGGGTGAAAGTGTTGTGGTCAGATGAGACCAAAATGGAGCTCTTTGGCATCAACTGAACTTGCCGTGTTTGGATGAGGAGGAGTGCTGCCTATGACCCCAAGAACACCATCCCCACCGTCAAACATGGAGGTGGAAACATTATGCTTTGGCGGTGTTTTTCTGCTAAGGGGACAGGACAACTTCACCGCATCAAAGGGACGATGGACGGAGCTATGTACCGTCAAATCTTGGGTGAGAACCTCCTTCCCTCAGCCAGGGCATTGAAAATGGGTCGTGGATGGGTATTCCAGCATGACAATGACCAAAACACACGGCCAAGGCAACAAAGGAGTGGCTCAAGAAGAAGCACATTAAGGTCCTGGAGTGGCCTAGCCAGTCTCCAGACCTTAATCCCAAAGAAAATATGTGGAGGGAGCTGAAGGTTCGAGTTGCCAAACGTCAGCCTCGAAACCTTAATGACTTGGAGAAGATCCGCAAAGAGGAGTGGGACAAAATCCCTCCTGAGATGTGTGCAAACCTGGTGGCCAACTACAAGAAACGTCTGACCTCTGTGATTGCCAACAAGGGTTTTGCCACTAAGTACTAGTCATGTTTTGCAGAGGGGTCAAGTACTTATTTCCGTCATTAAAATGCAAATAAATTTATAACATTTTTGACATGCGTTTTTCTGGATTTTTGTTGTTGTTATTCTGTCTCTCACTGTTCAAATATACCTACCATTAAAATTATAGACTGATCATTTCTTTGTCAGTGGGCAGACGTACAAAATCAGCAGGGGATCAAATACTTGTTTCCCTCACTGTACAGGAGGTATGAGCACGACCCTGACAATGCCTGTTGTATATTTGGAGGTTGCATGTTCTGCCCGTGGCCACGTGGCTTTTTTATCCGGGTCCTCCGGTTTTTCCCTCCACATTTTAGAATCAACGTCCGTTTAGTGCATTTGGTTTCTATTAATGTCCACACGATGAAAAGCCATTTTGTTGAGTTATAATTTGTGGCGAGGTCGCTTTGAAAAAGAGCTATCGAGCTCAGTGTGCCTTACCAGGTACAATAAAATAAAAAAGTGTTTATTTATTTTCCCACCCCTCACCCCTCGCTGATTTTCTATTCGGCTTCTCGGCTCGAGGCGATTAACCTCTGACCCCTCCTCCACGATTCGGTCGGTCGTGGTGATTCGTGGCTGCTACTCAACCGTAAGAATCGATTCCTTTTCTTTTGGTCTCTAATTCGAATGTTTTGTTGGACGATCCGTTCCATTACGTTTTCATGGGTAACGTTTTTCGCACAGGTTGCACGAGTGAAGGAGTGTGTTTCGGATGTCTTCATGTCCACCGCTGGCCCAGGTCCACACGCGGAGATGTGCTTCGTCGTATGAGCAGAGGTGACACTTCCATGGTTGACTTGATCAGTCCAAGACGTATCCGAAAGCAAACGCTTACTTGCCTGGCTGCGAGTGCTTAAAGCAATTGCGGTATTGGCCCCCACTTTACCGTACACACTCTGTACAAAGGGGGATACAGGCGCAGTTCTGCAATTGCTCGCTCACACATCACTGCTGAGGAAGCTCTAGGCATGCCCCCTCTAGAGGGTATTTTGGCCTATTCTTCCACGTTGGCCCGGCGTCTTAGAAGAGGTGGGAGTTACCCACACGTGCCCGTACGCGCCCAAACGCCTCGTTGCGCCGGCGAGCCGCGGCCGGCGATTTGGCGATTTTGAAAAGACTTGGCGCTGCTTAATGAGCCACCTGATGGCCTGCCGTTGCGTCGTGGTCGTTCGGCTGTCGAGCGCGCTCCGGTGTCAGCGCGGGACGCGCGGGCGCCTCTCCCGCCCGTGCTAACGAGTGAGTGTTTACTTCCTCGCGAGTTAATCACCGTCACGTCGAGCCTTCCTACTGGCACGATATCAGGACAGATGTCACCTTGTTCGGTCATTCGTCATGTCAGGCCTCCCGCAGCAGACCTATCGGGTGGGAAGCGTGAGACGGCGGCGCGGGAGGCGACAGCGTCCCCTCCTGAGTCGTGTCGGCGCACAACGTCCGGGTTGAGGAGCCCCCGCCCCCCCCACTAACACTCATTCGTGAGAAACGCATCGCGAACGACGTCATTCTTTGGCTCCTGGCTTCGTTGTCCAAGAGGAAACGAACTAGGCCGTGGGGGTTTTTTTCCCAGTCGCGGGTGATAACGCGCGTGGATGGACTCAGTGAGACACCCGATTGCGCTGGCAGTGGCTCCGTCAGCAGCGTGTCGTCACACGCAGATCCATAGACACACACGGAGACGTGTAGATTCACACAGAGACCCACGTACTCACATGGAGAGCAACTGAGAAACTTGAATGCGCTGGCAGTGGCTCCGTCATCAGTGCTGTCTCCAACACGCGCAGCTTCCCAGGAGAAGCAATCTGTCGGGGGCCCTGCATTGGTGCACCATCATCATCATTACCATCACCGTCGCCATTATCTCGTTACAATCAGCAATTAATCCACCCGCACGTGGTGTCTGAAACTAGAAAAGGTGAGGAGGCGCTTGCTGCCACCTCCGACCGGAGCGCTGGGTCACCGCTGCGCAGGATGACGGTGAAACCCTCCAGGGTACGGCCAACGTGGCGATCCTGTCACGAGCGGGGAGACCGTGTTCCGTCTGCTGAGTGAACTCTTAGACCAGCTCTTGCCTCTGACGGGTTTACGACAAACAAAGTGATTTGAGCTAGTGATGGAATATTTTACATTCCTACGACAGGGGCTAGTATATCCATAAGGACAATCCAATGCTGACTTCCCCACAAAGTGGTAACCATTTTTCCGACCCCGGAGAACTGATTGGCCGAATGAAGCCCTCGATGTGAACTCGCCGCCTGCCGCTGGCGATCCGCTCGTTCCACCCGTCAGCCACGCGGGGTGGAGGTGGATGCCTACCATGGTGTTGGCACCGCGCCAGCGAACGGAGACTGCTTCGGTGGCATCTGTGCGAGGATACATAAATGAGTAACGTACGGTGCGAAAGAAGTTCAACATACAGACGAAGCTAAAAGTAAAAATATTTATCTAAAAAATGCTTTGCTTCCGCGTGTTGGAAGCGTGCAGCCGTGACCCGGTCGCGCCACTGTGCAGAGCGAATAATTTAGATTTTGCTTTGCTCCGCGTGCCAAGAGAAATGACGTGTCAGATATTAACGCATTTACATATTACTGATTAATTGATCTTCTGAGACCTGGATAAAAAAAAAATTGAGAGAGGGAGGGAGGGAGGAAGGGGAAAAATCGTCCTCCTGAAAACCGTCAGCAGGGCTTCGGTAATTATGCAAACGACCGCGTCAAGTGCGTTGGTGGGTAAGAGCCCCGTTAATTAATGTATGCACTAGATAACGGTGAAGCCAATGGGATTGGCTCGGCAGATGTGATAGCGTGACAGTGATGGATTGGCCACGGCGCTCGGCCCACGTGTGCTCCACGGAAGCGCCTCGCCCCCCCCCCCCACTCACTCTCTCCTCGTCGCTCCAGACTTGATACCGTCCGCCGAGATGGATGTAAATACATTAAACTGGGTGAGCAGTCGGCGTCGGATCGGGGAAGGATTGCTATCGGACGCTCGCTCGCTCGCGCAGTCGCGAGCCTCTCTCTCGCAATCATCCGTGGCGCAGGAGCCCGGGAGCCTTAATGAGTTTAACCTGTAATGAGGGATCGCTCCTGTGTCTCGGCGCAGCGGCGGCGGCCGGATTAAATTAAGCGCCGCGTTGGGCACGGGGAGCCGTTCGGAACTGACGCTGAGCGAACTTAAATTGTGAAATACGCGAGTGTTCGTCGTCACTCGACTCGAGCGCGCCCGCTCAGAATTCATTAATGGGAAATGTTTAATTCAGCCGCATCTGCTCAGCCGAAATAGCTACCGCCCTGCGAGACGATGCTATATCCATCGTATCGGCGGTGCCGTTCAAAGGCGTATTGTGTCTGCCGCTGCGCACTTGCGTCTGTGTGTTTGTGCACGGACGGCGATACTCGCAAGCACGTGTCCTGCACTGCTTGGCTGCAGCGTGTACATGGAACATAGGTTCGTGCAGATTTATAATTAATTGAGGTGTACATATAATTGTTTCCTGTTTCACCGGGCGAGACCCTAATTAGATACTTTTGGAAATTCACTTCTCAGGTAGGTAGTGACATAAATGTTGACAGTTTTTTTTGTTTAAGGCGTCTTTGGTTATCAGATCTTGAACGTGCTGGCGTGGTATTCGAGGCGTGATGTGAGCGTATCATGGCCTACTTTTGTAAACGCCTCTCGGGGCCTTTGGACCTTTCCTCCCCCGCGCCGATTCTCCGGAGAAATTTGCCGAGCGGCAGGAGGACATCGCGCGTCCGGTTGTCGCGGTCGCGAATCAAAGTGCGCTAAACACGCGCCGGTGCTGATCCCGTCGCGTTGAACACGCTGCGCTGGTGCGCGCTGCTGATGGTTGTGCTTACGGGTTTTTTTTTTACCCACCGAAATATATTCCGTTTGTTTCCTTGTTCTGAGATTAACACAGAACCTTACAGAGCTCTCGCAGCGAGCAGCGCACCACCCTGTGGCAGTGAAAGGCTCGCGAGGTGACGTCACAGAAGCACTCCTGTGACGTCACAGGAGTACTTCTGAAGTCTTTTGAGTCGGCCTCGTCACTGGCGCTTGGGACGCCGCTCTGCTGTGTCGCACCACGTGTCAGGAGATGCAACGTTTTGGTTATCAGAGCTGGGATATGACAACCAATTGAATTTCTTTTGACGCAAAGCGTTTGTCGTGCAGTCATTGGTGGCGAGACTGAGACCCAACAACTCGCGCTTGAGAAGCCGCTCTCATCACGGTGGGTAGCTACCTGGAGTCGAACCTCGCGAATCGGCCAGGCTCGCTCGCTGTCACCGCCGCGATATTTCCCCTCGATCGCCACCTCCTCTGTGTCTTCACCCTCTTGGAATAACAAAAACAAACACGGCTGTTTTTGTTCAAGGTGTGTCGTCTGAGAAGCGTGGCGAGGCGAGCGGCGCTCCGCTGCCGGCAGCTCACGGCCACGTGGCTGCCCTCCCCTCGTCCACGGGGAGCCGACTCAACTCATCGGCCTAACGAGCTCATCAGCTCGGTGTTTGCACCTCCGATTTCCCACGACGGGGTTAGTGGCGAACTTCGATATACCATGCGCCGTGCGTGTGTACGCATCGGCAAATACTCGACTGACTCGACACTCAACTCGCCATGAGCGATGGGGCCAGTTGTGGAGAGAGTGGAGGAGTTCCCGTAGCTGGGCACTGCGCCTATTGACTACTTCCAGTTTGGCAGCAGAAGTCTCACTCCGAATCAGTCGAGCGGCATTTTCTTTTCGTTCAAAGTTTCGGTTCGATGACAAATATCTGGACCGGTACTGGGCCTCCCTTAGGTCAACTCAGCCTTAAATGAGTACCTGGCGCGGTGTGTAAAACATCAGCACGCGGGGGAGACCAAGGCGACCGGGCGTGATGCTGGCCACCCACCCCCTCTTGTGCTGTGTCAGCCTTCATAGGTGCTCGCTCAGAGCAGCACTTGCCCCTACAGTCTGTTAAGCCTATACGGAGGGAGGGGGGGGAGTCTCAGTCTTTGTTTTGTTTGCGAACTTAACTTGGCACGGGCGGCAGCGGTGAGCACGAGAGCGCGTTGCACGCTGCACTGTTATTTGTTCGTGCTCGCGGCCGAGGGCATTAATCACAGCGACACACGTGGCGTGCCCACACGGCAGGGTTAATGCTCCACTGTCTGACATCTGCTCAACGTAAAGACGGGGGGGGGGGGTGGGAGGTTTGGACGTAAGAGCTCAAGGTATAAACGCATAAATTGCAAGTGGGATTAACCAGTCCATTAAATAGGCTTTTAATTCGCAAGCTGAATTTAAATGCAGCCCTGCAATGAGTTTCGCACAATGGCGTTTCGAGCTTTGCTAAAAATTATACAGCTGCCGGCTGCATGCCAAGTGTGGCTGTTTATATCCGGCAATGTCTGTCCCAACCCAGCTGTACATGGTGTGTATATTTACACATGCTGTGTATTTACGTTGCGTCTATGTTTATGCTGTACTTTGCGTGTGCCTGTGTGTGTCCTGTGGTCTTGGTAAGGGCGGTGGGTGCTGCGATGCTTGGCACACTGCGCGATGAACCCGGCCACCTGAGTTTGCTATCCGGACACGATGCACGTCAGTGACGAGTGATATCTGAACCGGTTCTGGACACCCAGCACCTTCCACCTCCCACTGACCACCGTGGTGAAGTATGGTCAAATAACCTTCGCGACCGACATGGCGTGGGATAGCCCTCATCCAGCAGTGGATTGATCAAGGCTGTAAATTGATATTAATTTTGTTATTTTATACGGCGCACACAATTCCCATAAAAATACGCTTAATATTTACAGACTGAATTTAGTAGGTGTTGGCTCCACACATTCTCGTATAATCGCCGTAGAAAACCACATTTCATCTGGCGGCAATTACATTCTATTATAATATATCTAAATGGCAATTACGGTCGACAATTAGTGCATCTAAACAGTTATAGAAATTCCATTGGCAAGATTAGCAGAAGCATCTGAATTGGGGATTATTTTGCATTTTACAATTAATCGTGGCTGCCTGGACACGATAAACACTCTGTCTAGAATTCAGCAGCTTCAAAAGTGACGCCTCTCTCAAAGTAACCACTGTATGTACGTATGTGGAACTTCTTTCGCACCGTATGTAGCCAACCGTGTTCATTGGGAAGTACAACAAACTAAACACAACAAGCAGTTCTAGAGAAATTAGTTTTCAATCTAGATTGAAAAGTGCATCACTCTTGGGGCTTCCTAATATCGGAAGGAAGAGCGTTCCAGACGGCCCCAGAAGCGGCGCATCTGAAAGGAGGGGATTGGCGGAACGAGAGTTGTATGGATTATAAAACACCAGGACACACAGAGGACGACACCATGGTGTTATGGTGACCGCGCTGGACCTGCAATGCGGAGGTCGCCAGTTCGAACCGAACTCCCGGCGTGGCAGCAGTTGAAGCAATGGGGAAAGTTCCGCAAATCCTTCACATCCGCCCAGCACCACGATTGGTCGATGGGGCAGGTCCGCGTGTGGTAGGGTAAAGTGTGGGTAGTCCCACTTCTCCACAGACGTCCTCGCCGGCGTGCCAGGATCGACCGAAGCCCCCTCTGCAGGGGGTTCTCTTTAGCTCCCTCCACTGGAGGCCCTTTCTCCAGCAGTGGCGTAGAGCGAGCATTTGCATTACTGCGCCTTTACCCTTCCACACGCGGTAATGAGATGTGCCCACAATTGACGACTCGTGCTCGGTTATTAAGAAAAGCAAATGCATCACTTTGTGGTCCTGCGACAGTGATTCATCAGCCGCTGCAGTTATTCTGTTCTTTCAATAAATAATTTAGTATCAATGGAAGTTCCTTTTTATTACGCCGCGCCCTGTGTTGTTTGTGTAATTTACTCTGCGCCTGCAAGCGAGACAGAACGGACAGACCCATTACAAACCACGCTAGAATCTATTTGTGTTAATTTCTACGTCAATGCGGCTCTTCATGAAAAGTATTAATAGAAACGGGGTTATTACGCGAACACAAACAAAAAAAAGATTTTTTTTTTACAAAATCACACACGTGACTTATCAGCCGCGCTGATAAATGAGATGGATGAGTGTGCTAACTTCATGAGACCGCCAATGATTACATCTACGCAACTTCAATAAGTCCCAGAAAATCATTTACAAATGTAGCTCATGGCTTGGATGTGGTTATTGATCGGCGCTTGAGTATATTTTGGCGAGGTGTGGTATTATTTTCTCTTGGTGAGGTGTGGTGAGGCATTGGTCCGTAGCACCTGAAGTGGGCCAACTTCGGTATTCAATGTCTGGCCAATCATCAAACGATTCTGTCATCTTGGACAGATAGATAAATGTGTCTTACTAAGGTTTTGCTACCTCACTGAAGGTTGATTTTGGGTGAGACCGCGTGATTATCAATGTGTCGCTAACCCACCTCCATCTGATACGGCCAATTAGTAAGGTTTGTCACGTAAACAAAACGTGCTAATTAGTTACTAATTCAGCACACCTGTGTGTTGAAGAGTAAACCCACAACATTTACAGTTTGAGTACGACGTTTCGCTGGTGATGACAACCAGCTTCATCAGACGATTTGCCAGAATTGTGACATTTTGTTGCCTTGGTTGGTAGCAAGCTCAGTGCAGGCCCCCAGGACGCGTGGTGTATTCTCTTCTGGCGGGGTTATTTTACTCGTGAGGCTAACTTTAGTAACGTTTAATCAATTAAGCAGTTCTATTTTAAACGAACGTTCAGTGATAAAGTTACGAGATTTCCACCTAACTCTTTTGGTCAAATATGTGTCGTTATGTGATGTGAAAGGAATCTGGGAAATTTGGTGGGGTGTAATAAAAATATCTCCTTCACCAGCAAAGCGACACGGCCTAGCAGTCGTGCGTTCGCCGCTTGGTGTAGAGATTCACGGTTCGCTTCGAGCGGCCGCCATGGTTAATACTGCGGTGGTGTGGTAGTATTAACCATACCTGAACGACGTGCCGTCTGGCATCATATTAGACGTTAAGATCCCCTGACGTCGTTTGCAAGAGTAAGGCCATTAGGTGCTGGTGTTGCCCTGCTCCCACATCTATGATTAGAATGGTTGGCTACGTACGGTGCGAAAGAAGTTCAACATACATATGTACATCAAGTCCCATTTTTGACAAATTTGGGATTGACCTTCATTACTTGATTGGGATTACACACACGGCAGTAATCATCGCCCCTTACTGGGAGACAATGCCCCAGGTAACTGTTGTCAATGAGACTAACCCCTGCGTTTCTTGAGTTCCCCACTTGGTTCAACAAAATGAACGCATTCAACTACATTGGAAGCACTTTTAGGATGCAGCAAAGCAAGGGGAATGCATTGGTGTAAATGGAGTGATAATCTCATGCCGCTCATCTGAAACCCGTCGAGTGACCTTAACCTGCGTTTTCTCCGAGGCGCGCGTGGTGGGACGTGGGTGCTGACGCCACACACGCGGCGTTCACCGCGCGGCGCTCACCGGGCGGTGAGCATCGCGTGGTGCTCACCACGTGGTGAGCACCACGTGGTGAGCACCGTGCGGCTCGTCTTGGAAAAGTCATTCAGAGGCAAGAGCAGCCTTCACACCGCTTGGGGTTAAAAAATAAATCCCACTGCCAGTTGGGACTCTCTTCCCTGCCACAGCCGTAGGTCGTCCCGCGGAAGGGAGCCGGTAGCGGGCAGACGGTGACTGTGTGAGGGGGGGGGGTGGGGCTCTGGGCCAAGGCTGGAGTGAGGAGGGGTGGGGGTATCCTTGACGTTGATAGATGCGCGGCCAGTAATGACGTCCCCTGCTCTCCGCCGGGCCCATAAATCACAGGGACCCCCGCCGTAATTGCAACGGAGCGCGCCGGCAATTGTTATTAACCGCACCGTGATACGCGGCCGGCTGACGGCTCCCGCCGTCCGTCTTTATTTGGTGGGCGCTCGGCGCGGACTCGGCAGCGCTGCTGCGCGGAGGCGCCGGGCCTCGCACAAACAAACAAAATCCATCGCCAGGCCACGATAGATCATCCCTATTGATCGTCCTCAACGTGCATTTTCCGCGCTTTATAAATACCACGGACGTCGAAGCCGGTTCCTGTCCGAGTCGCCCGGCTGTGGGAAACGTTGAGCTGACAAAAAGCAGTGCATGGCGCCGTGCGTAGGAACAGAGGAGCCTCATCGGCGAACGCGTTGCGTTGAACATAGTTTCAGGTGTGGCTCGGATTTCATATCAGGCTCTGCCGCAGCTGACCACCAAATGTGTGGTTTCCCCACTTTCTTTCCACTGTCGCACTGTGGGCCTTTCATCAGCGGCTCTTGACACAAAATTACGAGTCGTACCCGCGTGATGTGGCGATATGTTAACTGCCTCGCCTGACGCCTGCGGTATATTTGGAGTATGCACGTTCTCCCCATGGTCGCGTGGATTTTTCTCCAGGTTCTCCGGTTTTTCGCTCCACATTTAGCATCATTTGGATGCTATACATTTCCACATGATAGGCCACTTCGTTGAGCTATCATTAGTGGCCAGGTCGCGTATGAAAAAGAGCTACATAGCTCAGTGGGCCTTACCTGGTAAAATACCACACAGTGAGTGAATAGTTAGCTAATAGATGTTAGGCACCATGTCTGACCTCTAGCCCCACGAGCCGGGCGCTTCTTGACAGAGGAGAATCGCGGCGCACCGCCCGCTTGGCCCAAGCAGCACGCGGGCAGCACCTCGGGTGAGCGTGCGGCACGGACAGCAGCAGCAGGAGGCCACGGCGGCGGTCTCAACGCATCCACGTGTAGAGAGCCGGGCTCGGAGCGCTCCCTGTAACTTACCCGAAGCTGCACATGCTGGGATTCCGAGCAGCTGGCTGTGAAAGCTGAGATCGTGTCAGAGTGGTGGGGGGGGGGGGGGTGAATTTTTTTCTTTTGTTTTTTTGTGACCAAGCGTAAAATGGATTAAGATTGCGGATTTTTTTGTTTGGGCACGGTGGGGTTGTGTTTCTGTAATGTGCGATAAAATTCAATAGGTATTCTATTACCAGCGTGCAGCATACATCATCATGTGAACTCTTGAGACAGAACACAAAATAAATAAAAAAAATCATAATTCACGGACATGCCCAGAAGGCAGCCGTAATAAAAAGTAAACACAGTGTTTTGGGTTTTATATATATATGAATGTCCTCACGACAGGTCACGCGATATTGCGGTCGTAATGGGTTTAATGCCACACACCCTCAACTTCCTGCCATCACTAACGCATGCAGGCACAGATATCTAAACATTGACACCCTTTTCATTTATCTTGCAAGGGGACAAATTTCATTTTCTCCATGAGTTATTGTCCGGCGCTCTTTCTCTCTCACGCGGCTTCACAAGAAACTGCGCGCGCGCAAAATGTGTCGGGGCTCTGGCCCGGCGCTTTTGGACTCTTGACGGGACCCATTTGAATAATCAGGCGGCTGGCCGGAACGGTCGCAAGAGAGCTCGGCGTTCACGAGGTCACGAGCGGAAATGCTTCACGTCAGGGAGAGGAACGCAGCACCAGCGCACCGTCGCTGTGGCTCTCCAGGGACGTTAACCCATGAAAACGTATTTCCACCCCAGGCACACCACGTCCAGTATACCACACGCCGCCTGCCGGAAATTTTTGTACCAAAAAAAAAATTCAGTGAGCGATTAATCTCTGCTCCCAGGAGAGAAAAAAAAAACATAAGTCACCGATGCGTGACTTCGAACGGTGTTTTTGTATCGATGAACTGCCCCCCCCCCCCCCGCCATAGGAATGTGGAATTTTCACCAGAGGCTCAGAGTCGCACGATGTTTGTTTGACAGCGGAGGCACTTTGAATCTGTCTTTTAGAGGATTCACGACGTGAGAATAAAAATGTAATTTTCAATTCAGCGGGAAATGTCCACCGGATACAAAGAAGCTGATTGCACCAGCGTTGATCAAACCCTTAAACGTGAGCTCCTGTTCGTCTCTAATTGCCTTTTTTAATGTCTTTTCAAATATCCTTCCTGCCTGTATATATGATTACTTCCAAAACGCAGCCTGTGTATCAACGATGCAATTATGGATGATGTAGGCGAACACAGGACGTGGTCATTTTCCCAAAATGGCACTGACACGACCACAACAACCTCGCACGAGAAAAAAATATATATGAGAGAGAAAATTGCGTCAAATAAGTTGTGTTCTCAGCCGGGGGTTTCAGACTGACTGCCCTTCATCATTTCTGAGTTTCTCGTGTGCCGCGTCCGTGACGTGCGCGGTTTTCTATCTTGGCAGCATATCCGGGTTGTCACTTCAAAAATTGTATAAATTGTTGCGACAGCAGAGTGTGTGTGTGTGTGTGCCAGAATTGTGCTTCGCCATCATGCGGTAATGGGCACATTTCACTCATTGTGGCACCAATTTGTGTCTGTGGCGTGACCCATCGGCAAACTCGGATAACGAAGGCAGGAGGGAGGGAGGGAGCAATTGCTTGCTCGCTCCACTGCTGGTGAAATGGGCCTCCACTAAGAGGACGGTCTAGAGAGCCTCTCTGTCTAGGGCATGTTCGGACGACTCTCCCACGCTGACGGGACATCTTGAAAGAGGTGGGAGCAGTCACACTTTACGCCACCACCCCACGCGATCTGCCGATCGACTAAGTGTGGCCGTACCCGTTGTAAACACACAAGGCGCACACGTGAGTGTGACGGACTCAATGATGAGAGTTGAACTATTTAGTTCGGGGGGGGGGGGGGGGAACCCCCCGAACATTCTGTTGTCTCGTGCAGTTCTGCTTAACCCACGAATGTCCACATTTTCCCCAGAGGTTTTTTTTTTTTAAATACATAAACATCTTAATAACCTTCCATATGAATATATATTTTTTTTAAACCGACATTTTTCAGAAAAATCTCTTTTTCGTGATTGGTCACTTGAGTAACCGGTGGGCATATTCCACAGGACCCCCGTGCCTTCCCGTGTCATCGAGAAGACGAATGAAACGAGAGGCCGCTTGAACCGCCACTGTGTTTGTTGACGTCGCCGGGCAGTCTGTGGGAGCACAGTGCGCGGTGTGCGATCGCGGCAGCACTGCGAGCAGCACGCGGGGAGATTGTGCCCAGCGGCGCAATCAGCGCAATCGCGACGTCCATGCCATGTTTACGTAGACGCGCGTAAGAGTACTTAAAATGAAAATTGCATTCAGCAGTACAGTACACACACATCCTGCACGTTTTGTCTGTAATTGTACAATAATTGCATCAGCCCTTTTTCACATGTAAGCCCATTGTAGCAATGGGCTTAAATGGACTTCATTAAAAATTGATTGCTTGTTACGTAAAGCCGCTCTAATGACGCCAGATTAGCGGCGAGCGAAGCCATCGCTTGGTCGTCCTCAGCGCTGTGCCGGGAAGCTCCGTAACCGGCAGCCAAACGGCAAACACCACGACCACCATCACCACCACCATCACCACCACCATCACCACCACCACCATCACCACCATCATCATCACCACCATCATCACCACCACCAACACCACCACCACCATCACCACCATCATCATCACCACCATCACCACCACCATCACCACCACCATCACCACCACCATCACCACCACCACCATCACCACCACCACCACCAACACCATCACCACCAACACCACCATCACCACCATCACCACCACCACCATCACCACCACCACCAACACCACCAACACCATCACCACCACCATCACCACCATCACCACCACCACCATCACCATCACCACCACCATCATCACCATCACCATCACCACCATCATCACCATCACCATCACCCCCACCACCATCACCACCACCATCACCAACACCACCACCATCACCACCACCACCATCACCACCACCATCACCACCACCACCATCACCCCCACCACCACCACCACCATCACCACCATCACCACCACCACCACCACCATCACCACCATCACCCCCACCACCATCACCACCACCACCACCATCACCACCACCACCATCACCACCATCACCACCATCACCAACACCACCATCACCCCCACCACTATCACCACCAACATCACCACCATCACCACCACCACCACCATCACCACCACCACCAACATCACCATCACCACCACCACCGTCCCGGTCCCTGGAGACACCCCCCCACCCCCCACCGCTCGTCTCGTCTCCGAGCCCCCCACCGCTCGTCTTCGAGCCCCCCACGAGCAGACGGAGCGCTCTTCCTTGCCGCCCAGAAGGGAGCCCCTTGCTCGTCCGAGGGTACGTCCGCCATGGGAGATGGAGCGAGGAATTCACTCCTCGTGCTGGCGCTCGGCGGATCGTCACGTGGCAGGATCGTGATAGATGGCGACGGCTTGAGGAGGGCCTTCTGGCGGTCCAGCAGTGGATTGATCCTGGCTGATAACGTTGATGGTGATGACTGAGAGAGCCCATTGGGACCAAAGATTTTCTCTTTCGAGGGGTGACCGAGGGTCGTAAATGACAGCGAGTGAAACGTCAAACGCGACGGGACTGATACGGCACAGCGATGCGAAAAAAGCCCTTAAGTTTAAATGAGTAAAACAGGTATTATTAAATACATTTAGAAAATTGGAGTTGTTCCAAAAAAAATGGCATGCGTGTTGTACAGATCACCACTTTTTGCAACGGTTTGCATTGGGTGATTCGGATCACCGGTTGAAACAGCGGGAGCAAGTTTCTTAAAT